ACATCATCATCGTTCCATGGTGAGAAGGGGTCTGGCGCCCACACAGGAAGAAAGCACCAGCCCCCAGCTATACACAGACGAAGAAGAGGGGGGTTTAGACGAAGAAGAGGCGAAGATGGGAATGTCGTCAACACCAAGTCTTTGGCACAGGCCCCAAATAATCCCTCATCAAATGTCTGAATCCCAATGTTGAGTGGATCCAATGTCGTCAAGTCCCAAAGTCACCAATCTCTCTCTCTCGTAGTCTGCAGGTACTGAAAAGTTAGGTAGCGAGAGGGGGAGGAGGAGATGGTGGACTCTCTCCACTACTATAGCTGCTAATAGCGCCCAGCGCTGAAGACTACTGCTAACGCTACTACTACCACTGCAGCGCTCCTCCAGAGTGCTGCTGCCGAGTACTGAAGACTGCCTCCTGCCTTCTGCACGTGAAGTGCCTGGGGAGTTCCTAGGAACTACCTCGTGACTCTCTGCAGCCTGTAGGGCGGGCCAGTCTTATATAGTGCTGGCCCGTCCAGGAGGCTGCTCTTGCCAATGCCAAAACGTGCCAGACCCTGGCGTTGAAGTTCAACCAAGGGTTGCCTTGAAAACAGGCCAAAAGTGGCCTGTGCTAAAACCCTGGTCTGGTGCCCAAGTTTCAGGGCAGGTCGATCTTATGAGGGCCTGAAAATGGCCCTCCGTTTCAGACTGAAACAACTCAGGGCCTGGAAGGCCCTGTTTTAGGCTGAAACGACATAGGGCCTGCAGGCCCTCGTTTTCAGGCTTTCAGGCTGAAACGACACAGGGCCTGTAAGCCCTTGTTTTCAGGCTTTTAGGCTGAAAACGACACAGGGCCTGTAGGCCGTTGTTTTCAGGCTTTTAGGCTGAGAACGCTGGTCGGGCCCTGCAGGCCCGTGTGGCTGCGCAGTATGCCACAGAGTGGCAATCAATAACCAAGGCATCGCAGACCACAAGAACCCACGAACACACGTCCATCACAAACAGCACAACCTAGTTGACCATTGACGTCGTGATCATGGACTCAAGGAAGGGTCAATGGCGGTTAATCCCCCTTTTTTTTGCGCCTGACATTACCTCTTCCTGACCGTTGACTTCACCATGAATGTAAGAGTGGCAATGGACATTGAAGGCAGCACAAACTACAAAGGACCACACACACACAACACACACACACAGACACACAACCAAATACAGGTCCACCACAGAGACCCGCCATTTACAAAGACGCAAATCCATTGCGGGTATGGGCATATGAGGTCAGCAATCGCAATCTCTCAACTGATCTTTACGACAGTGGAAGCAGAAAGACAAGAGTGTTTTCCTGTAGGGAAAACTTCAGACCGATGCTCAGAGAATGATGAAGGGGATGAAAACTGGAACAACAATCAGGCAGAACCAGGCCAAGTCATTAGCCATTCCATGTGTCACTGTGGACAACTCCTTGACAAGAAGCGCGCGATCGCACGAGAAGAAAGGGCACTCAATGGAAGTAGTTAGAACATCGAAGTTCGATGGCAAAGCTATAGACAACTCTTCGACAAGAGGTGAGCGATCACAGGAGAAGAAAGAGCGTTCAGTGGAATCAGTTAGAACACTGAAGTTCGATGGCAAAGCTCAACCTTGGACTTGGATCCACCCGGGACGCAACCACCAAAACCAAGTGCCTAATGGAGCTGGAAGCGCGGGGAGAACCAACCCAAAAAAAGGAAAAAAGAGGATGCAGAGGAGAGAGGAAAATATGCAAAAAATGAGATGGGAAAGTGTTAAGATGAACACATCTAGACTGCGCACCTACTCATACTAGAACTTTCTAACCTGGATCTGGTGGTGATCACCCCCAGATACGTCCCACAAAATCCAAGTGCGAACGTGCCCTGAGACTACTAAACTTCGGTAACCATTCCCCACAATAAACCGCAAGCAAGCACACACTCTTTCCTACATCAGCGAGCCCAGCCCCACCCCCATCCATCGTCCTTTCCAATTGGATGAATCTGTGGGGAGTCAACCCCCCAGATTCATCCCAGGACCTGTGAGAAGAAGGAATGTGTCATGCCCCTGTGACATACCCACCTGCATTTTTCCTCGATCTTTGTTCTTCTCAACTGCAGTCCCTAAGAACTGCAGAACGTTTTCCCGTGTCTCGCTGCCCTTCAGCAAGATCTTCAAAATTTCCAGCAGTCCCTCATACAGCTGATGCATCACTGTTCGAATCGTCTGGAAGGTGGCATTGATATCCCCTGGCCTTGCTTGCGATGGTTTCGAAAAACACTCACTGAAAAATCATGGCAACAACAAACTGTGTCAACCAATAACGAAATAGACAACAAGAAAATAGAAATAAACGACAACAGAATAGAAAACAATACAAAATAGAAAACAATGAAATAAATATCAACGAAAAACTGCAAATAAACAACTATGAAACAGAGAGCAATGAAAATACACAACAACGAAATAGATGGCAATGAAATAGACGACAATGAAATAGAAATCGATGAAAAACTGGAAACAAACAACAATGAGACAAGCAGCACTGGGGCCAGCGGCCTAGCTCAGTTTCTAGCGCAAGTGGCATTCAGGAGGCCATGGGTTTAATTCCCCACGCCTGCAGACGTGCTTGGCGTTCACCAGCTTAGATAGTGGGCTTGGCCCCCCCAGGTTGGTCTTGGTAGGTCCTGCCATCCCTGGCTGGGGGTTAGATAGAGTCTGCTTGCCCTGGGGGCTAGATAGAGGCTTGCACTGGCAGTTCCTTCTCTGCAGGTTTATCATGTAGTTAGGTAGTGTGAGGTATATTTGAGAGAAGAATATAACTTAGTTTTTAACAAAAAAAAAAAAAAACAGACAGCAGTGAGAACGAAAAACTATGAAATAGCAGATGATTACAAAAAATAGAGATAGTATCTAATAGATAGCAATGAAATGGGCAATGATGAAATAGACGAGAGAGACTTCCATTCACCCCACCCACATCCGACATACGTTTAACAGTAAAACTCACAACAACAGTGATTCTTTCGGACACCATCAGCGTAAGTCCGTTGGCCAATCCACTCGCAAGACGAGGTTCCACTTTGACGAGAAGAGAAGCAAACAACTGAGAGGACAAGCTAATCAAAGGTGCAAAACCTTCGCAGATACCTCAGAAGCTAAGTTACTGAAGCTGTTCTGCTCTTTCAGAACAACTCGTGGAAGAAAAGCCATAGCTGGTTTTCACTAACATTAGAATGAAGATGTCAGTAGGAATTTGGATTACTCTGAGATGCAAACTGCTAAGTGCATACTCACACTAGGACCTTCCTGGATGTATCTGACCAAACTCCTGCATATGCATACGACCATCATTACGTCCAGAGATCAATCCAAAAAGTCCTAGTGTGAGTATGCTTTTATGACCTAAGCATGCCTTCTTACATGGCCTTCTGCCTTATCTCCGTTTGGCGCATTAAGAATTAAAGACTTTAGGGGACAGGCAGGTCATTGCCTTCGTGGGTGGGGGTAGAAAAACCAAAAATAGAAAGGGGAGGGGAGGGGAGGGGACGGGGGACGAGAGGGAGAGTGGGTAAACCAAAAGAAGAAAGGGAGACACAGGAGGGCAAGGGGCATGACCCAGCAGTAGTTGAGTCTTCATGGCCTTCCAGGAGGGGGGTGGAAAAACCAAAAATAAAAAACCAGAAATAAAAAGGAAGGGGTGTGGGGGGCGGGGGGACCAAGGGGAGGGTGGATAAACCAAAAAAAAGAAAGGGAGACAGAGGAGGGGAAGGGAGATGAATGGTTGAAAAAACAATGAAAAAGAGAGCATAATCATGAACTGGTGCCCCAGCGGTCGGGTGCGTCCCCCTACTGACTTCAGAATCAGGAGTGAATCAGGAGTGCCCAAAACTGATATGACCCTTATAATATACTTTTCTCATTCATAAAGCCTGATAAGTCCAACGAAACAGTCTGTCACAGCCCCTCGTTTGCTGTGTTCTTCTCCCTCTCTGCCTACGGTTTACCGACCAATTCTGTTTGATGATATACCCATCTTTCCACCGAATAGAAAGCAGGGTCGCTGTGTTTGGAGCAAATGTCAGTCTGCAAACAGCAATAATGACCAGCAACGCAAGGTCGGTATCCCTGTATTTGGAGCAAATGTCAGTGCACTCTGCTCTCGTTTCCTTCCCATCAGAGAGGTAAAGGCTGTTGTTTAAGCACTGAGCCTCAAAAGAATCATTCTTAGAGTGTTTGTGAAGCTTGCTAAGTTTAACTTGCCACCCCAAGTATTAAAAACCATACAAGAGCACTAATGGCTAACGAGCCAGGAGCTTTGAAGGACCTAAGTACGACCTGCAGGGATTTAACGGCCAAGAGTTAAAATCAGAGTTCTACCTACCTGCCTGCCTACCTACCTCCCTCATGGTGCGCACCAGCAACCAACCGTGCAGACACAAAAGAAACTGCAACCATCGCATCGACAATTCAACGGACCCAGTGCAGACCGGCGAGTCTCTATAGGTAACCCGGCCACTAGTCAAACGCAGGTGGTAATAGTTGCGAGGGCCAACTACACGATCAACATGCTGCTGACTTTATGACATGCGCGTCAGGTTCAACGCCTGTGGACGTTCTGATGTGCCCAGGTGCATTCTCACGGGTCTACCTTTTCACATGAACGCATGGTCATAATTGCTGTATTTAGACTGAGAGAGACACCAAATACAGACATAATGACCGTACGTTTTGTATTCGGGTGAAGAAGATCGTTGTGTCCTTGCAACATACACTGGGTCGCATCCATCCATTTATTGTCTATAGGTAACCCGGCCACTAGTCAAACGCAGGTAGTAATAGTTGCGAGGGCCAACTACACGATCAACATGCTGCTGACTTTATGAGATGCGCCTCAGGTTCAACGCCTATGGACGTTCTGATGTGCCCAGGTGCATTCTCACTGGTCAACCTTTTCTCATAATTGCTGTATTTAGACTGAAAGATACCCCAAATACAGATATAATGACCATACCTTTTGTATTCGGGTGAAGAAGATTATCGTGTCCTTGCAACATACACCGGGTCGCATCCATTCATTTATTTCATCGTTCGATGGACTTCACTCTTTCGATTTATTTCATTTTGTTTTCATTTCTTTCATTTCATTTACTCCTTTTGGGCATTTGACTATGATGTTCCTGCCCGCAATTTTAACGTTTTTTTAACCGAAATCATCAGGCTGTACTGACAGCAACCCAGCGAGCCCTCACGATTTTGGTTCAAAAAATGCAAAATTGCGGCCAGGAACTTCAAAGTCAAATTCCCAAAGCGGTATTTCATTCATTCCATTCATTCATTATGTCATTTATTCATTCATTTTCATTTCGTTTTCAACATTTCACTTCAGTCTTTCATTTGCTTCATCCACTTCACTTCATTGCATTCATTGCATTCATTCATTCATTCATTCATCCATTCACCCATTCATCCATTCATTCATCCATTCATCCATTCATCCATTCATCCGTTCATTCATCCATTCATTCATTCATTTTGGTCATTCATTTAGTCTCATTTCATTTCATTCATTCATCTCACTCACTCATTTCATTTTATCATCCATTTCATCCTTCATGCCATTCATTCATTTGTGTTCATACATCCACCAATAGCTGCAGGCATTCGTTCATTACTTTCGCTTTTCGGTTGATTGATGGATTGGCCCACTTGCCAGACAGTTACTGCTCACCCGAACCTCCTGGCATTACATCTGTGTTGCATACTCGTGAAACACAGTCTCAAGTATGGCGCAGATTCCCAGAACCAACCAGATAATACAGAGTTAATACAAATACAGATACAGCAGAAGACTTGAGATACATGGATTGACTCAGACCTGACACAGACTGCAACAAAACACTCACAAACATACATCGGTGGTGTGAAGCCCTGGCCTTGGACATAGAAGGAAAGGCCGGGGCAAATTCTCATACACGGATGAATGGAGGGAGGTGAGACGAAGGGAGGAGGAAAGGGAAGATGACGTCAACTCGATGTTTCCAAAAATAGTATCTTGAAATGTCAAAAGTAACGAACATCCGAAATGTCGCGAACACAGAGTCTCACAGTGTCTCAGATATCGATCTCCCAATATCAAGGTACTTCTTCAGAAGAAGATGAAATCGGATCCCCAGAGTAGTCCTCGACCTACAGTCTCGATGTCGCTGTCTCAAATGTCATCAGAACTCGTTACCATCCTTCAAGGCGAGGCCTTTCTCCCTGGTACCTGTCCCAGTAGCTATGGCGCTGCAGGAGGCGGGCGCTGGGCCGCGGGCTGTTCCTGCTGCGCTGGTTCCTCCTCGCCGCTGTGCTGCTCTCTCCTCGCTGCTCACACTACCGCTGCTGCGCTGCGCTAATCTTGCTAACGCTGAAATGCTGCGCTAATCCTGAAGACTAACTCCTGTCTACCAACCTACCGACTGAGGCTGGTACCCAGCTGATAGAGTGCTGGGTCGGCCTCAGTCCTACTGAGGTCCTTCGGGTCTGGACCGTTGATCAGGCCCAACAGTTCAGATCCGATCTCCGAATCTGGAAATGGGCGCCAAACTGCGCCGCCGGCTGGGCCTACTGATGAACCGGTACCTGGCCTAAACGAACTAGCCGTTGGGTTTGGTGGGGCCTAAACGAGGCCTACCGGACCCTGAACTGAACCGACGGGTCCTAGGCCTACCTGGACCTAAACTGGGCCCGTTGTGACCCGGTAACGAGGCCTGAACCGTGCCTGCTACAGAACCGGGCCCTAACTGGGGCCCGTGTCGTATCAGTATGCCACACACTCCCCCCCTTGAAGACCAAGCTAACTGCGAGGGCGAAGCTGTCTGTCCGATGTCCGTACGAGGCGGGCAGGTTGGGCAGCTTCCTTAGCAAGTCGCCGTTTTTCGTAACGCGCGAAGACGAGGGGTGCTGTCGCCTTCAGGTCAGCTCGTGAAATCCAGCGTGTGTCGTCAGGATCGCATTGCTTGAATGCAACTTTGTACTGCATTGGCTTGTTGCCATGCTTGCGATGAGTGAGGACACGGTCGACCTCCTGGTGACCATCCATTGAAGGAGGGTCGTGTGACCGTCTGCCCGGAAAGTCCGCTGAGGAGGCTGGAGTGTAGACCGCCACCTTTGAAGCGTGAAATATCGGGTGGACCGTCAAATGCAGGGGAATCTCGATTATGATAGATGGACCCGCGGAGTCATCGCCAGCTGCTGAAGTGACCTTCCATGGCCCAAACCACTTAGGGAGGAGCTTGCGCG